TGTGAGATCTTCCTCCCCACTCTGAAGCCCTTTCTGACCCATGGCTATTCCCTATCTGGCTCCCTCACCTGCCCCTGTGGGCCCATAGGCAAGCACACTGGCATTCTGCCCTTCCAGCAAGTGCCTCAGGATGGGCTGCACTGATCCCGCATAGACGTCCTGCTGAGAGCTCCTCTCTCCATAGAAGGCATCAAACCTGCAGGCAGGAAAAACGGAGGGAATTAGTGGAGGGTTCCATTCTCACCCAGACTTACAGGGTAATACTAGCCACGGATTTAAAAGAGTCTCTATCCCTTTTCTTGCATAAAGACCTTAGAAAGCACCCACTGAGCACCTGTCCTGTTCCTGTCTCTGTACTGGTGTTAGAAATAAAGAGATGAATCTGATGCCCTGATCTTGGGAGTTTTGTAGTCTGGTGGGATAGAAAGATACCCATCCTTTGTTGTGATTCAGGAAACGAAGAGGAGGACACACTAGAAAGAATAAGTGAGTCTGCTTGAGCAAAAAGGATTTTGCCAGAGACAGAGAGGAGAAAGATATTCCACGTATCAAAAAGAGCACACAGGGGTGCCTGGGTGGCTCAGTCAGTCAAGTGTCCAACTCTTGATTTTGGTTTAGGTCATGATCTTCACTGTTCGTGAGATCTCACAGACAGCAAGGGAGCCTGCTTGGGATTCTCTCTCCTCTCTCTGCCCCTTCCCCGCTCGCGTTTTCTCTGTCAAAATAAATAAACATTAACAAAACTTAAAAAAAAATAGCACAGAGAAGGCATGGTGTGAAAGAGCAGGGCTTCCTGATCTTTCCCCCAACACAGTGTATATAGGAAGCAGTATTGGTACACCACGATGGCGCAGAGGATGCTGCTTCTGACTAGGAGAGACTCCACTCACCTGCAGTCTACTCTCTATACTCCGGTAGAGAAGCCGTGGCTGAGGCCACAGCAGAGATTAGTATTTTAAGTGGAGTGTAGCCTGTGTTGGGGGGAATGAGGCTGGTAAGAAACAAGTCCAATTGCCAAGGGCCTAGAATGAGGTTGTCAAACTTTTTCTGTAAAGAGCCAGCTAATAAATATTTTAGGCTTGGTGAGCCATAGGATTCCTTTTGCAGCTATTCACATCTGTCATTATAGTCAGAAAGCAGCCGTGCACCGTATGCAAATGAACACGTGTCGTTCTGTTCCAATAAAGCTTTTATTACCAAAAAAGACTCCTGGTCAGATCTGACCTGCAGGCCGTAGTTTGCCACCCCCTAGCCTAGAACGACAGGCCGAAAAGTCTCAACTTTCCACCTCCAGTGGGGTTTTAAGGTAGCTGCCCTTGTGAGTTCTGTCCCCAAATCCGGATGGCTTCTGTCACACCCAGCTGCAGCCTGGGCTGGCTGGCTGGCTGGTCTATGTTCCTCCCACCCTTCCCACACCTCCCCGATCCTAGCTGGGGCTCCCCTGGTCACCCTTGCTACTCCTTCCCCACTTTGTGCCTATTTCCCCCATGAGACTGTGAATAGTAATATAAATCTGGTTCAGCTGCCAGTCTTTCCCCAAGTATCCTACAGAACACTGGTCACAAGTGGGCACCTATGAACATTTCTGAAAGCCCGAAAGAAGGTGTGGGGAACAAAGTTGTGCTATGAAAGGTGGAGATTCTAAAAAGGCACGTCTGAGAAACTGTCTGGGCAAGTGATAACGTGAGCTAGGAGAGAGGAGAGGGACAGGAGGGAAGAGTGGCCTGAACCTTACTGGTATTTGAGAGTCTCCTGGTGGTTCCTCCAGTTGGCAATCTCTAGTGAACAGCTGTCCAGGCCCCGCACACAAGGGGGCTCACCTGCTGCAGCTGTCCCATCCACAAATGGTCGCAGCCTCACGGCCACCCTTACCCGAGCTGGAGGTGGGCGCCGGCCAGCCCCTACCTTGCTTAGCCGACAGCGACCAGCTCCTAGAGGAGAGAAGGGAAGTTTTTAGGCATGAAATACGGTGGTAGCACAGAAGTTGCAGGACCAGCTTTGCAGAGAGGTAGGAGTCTTACAGGAAGAGCTACTTGATAGAGCTGAGCTCTGACGGATGAATAGCAGCTTGCCCAGCATTCCAGGCAGAAGGAATGGCATATGCAAAAGCATGATGGTGTGAAAGCATGGCCCCCTGGAGAACTGGTGAGGCGGGACTCTGTGTTCTGTTAGTGAGAATGAGCAGAGAAGGGCAGGATGGAAGACAAAGATGAATCAGATACATGGTCTCAGGAGGAGTACGGTGGGGGTTGGAGGACAGAGATTACCTACATACAGATCAGGGGTTGCAAACCATATCATGTACTTAGCAAACATTAATAGTAAGCACTGGCTACATGTCAGGTACACTTTAATCTTCATGGTGTCCCATGGTGTCCCCTCTTAGTGCCATTTTACCAACAAAGAGGCTTATGGAGGTGCAGCAGCTCTCCTGAGCACGTCGGTATTTTACACCTGGGGCCTTGTGGCTGTCGCACCTTGTTTCATAGCCTACATTTTGTCTTTTTGCTCCTCGAAAGAGTAAGCACAGCCTGAAAACAAAACAAAACCCTAGCATCTTAAGTAGACTAGAGACCCACATAACCTTGACAGAGGGGCAGGGAAATGGACTGGAGGCTAAGGTCATGGGGACACCATGGGAGGGCCAGGAGCCACAGCTCATTTCGGGGAAGCTCTTTCCACCCTGGCTGTACTGTGGGTGTCCCCAACTTGGCCCAGTTCTTTCCTTGCTCTACAAATAAGTCCAGTGGGGAGTAGATTGCCATGTTTACACAAGTAACCTGGAAGCTCTTGTTAAAATGCCGATTCACTTCCGTCCCTGGAATGATGCCTGAGATTCTGCATTTGTAACAAACTGCCAGATGGTGTGGATGCTGCTGGTAGGACATGCTTTGGATTGCCAAGGTGTTGTAGACCAGCATCTTGTAAGGATTAAAAGAGTTGACATTTGCCCCTCCCAAAACCAGTCAATGAACTGCCTGACTCTTCTGTGCTTCTATTTCTCACCTGAGGTTTACAACACACACTTACCTGTACATGTGTGTTACATACACAAAACTGATGGTTTTCTCTTGATGGAGCTTATGTGGGTTTCTTTTGTTACCCAGTTCTGTGATGCTCTAATGTTTGCATTAAAAAAATAAGTAACGCTGTGGATGGACACCTTTGTTTGGAAGGGATGAGGTTGGAAGGCAGCCCAGTCCCTTTCTGCCCCAGCTCAGTCTGCAAAAGGCATTAACATGCAATCCTCCTCTGTTGTAAGCTTTCTGTTTAGTTTGCTTCCAATAATTAAATTTAAGTCATTAAAAAAAAAGAGAGATTATAAATATTTTTATCAGAAAACACAAGGTAAAACTTTTTTAAAAAAGCCTGTTTTGAGGGGGGCGCCTGGGTGGCTCGTCGTCATCTGACTCTTGATCTCAGCTCAGGCCCTGATCTTAGGGTCATAAGCTCAAGCCCCATGTTGGGCTTTGCACTAGGTGGGAAGCTTACTTAAAAAAAAAAAAAAAAAAAAAAAAAAAAAAAAAAAAGCCTGTTTGGGGTGCCTGGCTAGCTCAG